TGGAGGTGGAGTAAAGATGGAGCAAACAGAGGGAGTAAAGGGGGAGTTAAATAGGGGGGGGGAGCTGAGATGAAGTGACAGAGGAAGAAGGGAATAACAAAGGACGTGTACAGTGCACTGTGACTTAATGGTCTGAAGCTTTCAAGCAAAAATCGATGAGAATTTGGCCGATTACTTCTTAAAAACCAAAATAAATTTTTCCATTTTAATAATATTTTGAAAGTAAAAACTTACTCCAATACCTCTGCATATGTGCAGTTTTGCATCAGGTCTGTTCCTTTTCACATTTCTTATCTGCCTCTATATATTTTTACCTAAACCTTTTGATTGGTAGAAAAGGAAGTTCCATCAATCAAGACAAATTTCATCTTCGTCCAACTCTATAAACTACACAGTAAACAAACATTTATTGTACAGGGTTATTCACAAAAGATGAGACTTTATTAATCATATCAATACCTCATTTGACTATTTTTGTTTAATATAAAGGAATTGAGTCTTTGCCACAAACTTTGATTTTCTATTCTCTATATCTTTGAAATCCAATATCGTAAACCTTTGATATTTCAAACTTAAATTATTTTATCGAACAAAAGTCATAGGTTGAAATGTCAAAGGTTTACGACGTCGGAATTCAAAGATATAGGGATTAGAAAATCATAGTTTGTGGCAAAGACTCAATTTCTTTGGGGTCACCATCTTCGCCATCGGAATTTATAGTCGGTTAAAATGTTTCCAGAGTTTGGAACTTTAGAATGATGGATATCGACAGGGGTGGATACAGGATTTAAGTGAGGGGGGGGGGGGGCAAGATTTTAAGGAACAAAAAAAGACTCAAAAAGAGTCAAAATTAATGACTAAAGACTAAAAAACTAGATTTTTAACTTTTCACACATTATAGTTTATTAAGACAGATATTTTTCCTGTTTTGCTAGGGTTTCTTTCCCTTAAGCATGCTATTGAGAAGCTATTCTGAAAATAGAAACAAAAAATTCCATAATCTTTTTTTGGATCACAAAATATGAATTGAATGAATTTGATAAACTTTAGATTTTTTATTAGTTTGGTGAAAGTATTGAAGGAGGAAGAGGAAGAGAAACCGGATGAAATAGAATATTTAGCAGGAAATTCATTTTTCTGCAAACTTATCAAACTTTTCATTGTTTTTCAGAAAAGGGTTTTTAATGAAATGTTTTAATTTAATTTAAACAGCAAGTAATTGGATTCCTTATTTACTGCTGCGTAGCAAGTACGTCAAAAGGTAAGACTTTAGAGTCAATTATTTTAAACTTATTTTAGAATCCTGAGTCCAAATTTAATGTATTTGAGCTGCGTCAAAACCGGTTTCAATTGAGCGCCGGCTTGAATCTTGAAACATTGAATAGAATTTTAAGAGGAACCAACGATATTTGAGCCGCTTCTAAAATTTAAGCCGCGGCTCAAATTCTTTAAATTCTGTTGCGTTTATTAGTTGTGAATCCTTCTTTTTTTGGTTATCTATGACAGTAAGACTTTAGCGCAAAAGTATTTTCTACAAGAAAACTTTAATAATAATCTTGTACATTTTTAAAAATGATTAATTGTTTTTAAATTTTCTTATTAGTCCCTAAAATCACAATGAAACCATCAAATTTGAATTTGATGTCGGACACCCTGTATGTTCGCTATAGCTGGCCAAATGGCTAGACCAAATTAAGGGTCGGAACCCATGGACACCGTACTGTACATATCAGGGGACTCCCGACCGTACTGTACATATCAGGGGACTCCCGACGAATTATAATTACTAAATCAAACGTTTTATTCTACAAATTATATTTCTTCAGGATGTTTCTTATACCACCTCACTCTAACAGTTGCATGATCCAAGCCGGTGCAAAATGTACTGTATATGTATTCATCGTACCGTCAAGTCTGAACTACCCAATGTAAAGTTGACCCAACACGTTTAATGTAACAAATGTGCAACTGTGTGAACAAAAAACTTCAAGGCAATTTTTAGAAATTAAGAAAACTCGTTTTATGATTTTTCCACATTTTCTGTTTCATTTTTTCACCAGAAGAAAAAATGTGCAATTTTCTATTTGAATTGAAATGGTCATTGGTCAAGAAGTTTTAAAAAATGCAATAGTTATACCCAATTTTTTGCAGTATATATGATTTATAAAAGCAAAACTTACTTTTTTTGCAAGTTTGAAATGTCATGATATTTCATTTTGGCATTTAAGTCAGATTCATGTTTCATATAAATGTCCCGAATTATAAAAGTTCAATAATGATGACGTTTAATAACAAACTGCAAAGGTCTCGTCAGCTGTGGGTTTTCCCAAGGTTGTTAATTTGATAAGGTTGTTTACTCTCCAGTTTATATGAGCTGCAATTCATATGGTAAATGTCGTCTCCTTAGGATAGATAGATAAAATCCGTAGATAACGTTACTCTCTCCTCTATAATCAGTACATGGCATATGAGGATTTTTCAAATATACCTGCAATAAAAATGAAAACACTGAAAGATTCCTTAAAATATTGTCATAATTTTGTCTACCCTTTTCAACTCAACAAAGGAATTGAGTCTTTGTCACAAACTCAAATTTTCTAATCCTTATATCTATTGAACTTGATGTTGTAGACTTTTGATATTTCAAACTAAGATAATGTGATACAACAGAATTCATAGTTTGAAATATCTAAGGTCTACGACCTACGATATAAATGGTTAGGTTCTACTTTCGTAGTTGGCCTTAGAAGACATCTTCATCATCAGCCTATGGACGGGTTACTGCAATACATATACATCCCAGTTCTATATTGAATTAAGAATCTGGTAGATTATGGATCTAATAAACCAGGCAAGAAAAATACCAAAGAAGCCACTGAAGGACTTGTCAATTAAGGTTACCTAAAATGATCATCCTAGGTTTGATGGTGACAAAGAAGAAATAGGATTAAATGAATTAATTTAACGGACTGTATAGGAATAGAAAAAATAAGTAAACCTTTCAGAAAAAAATAAAAAATTTAAAAAATAAAAATAAAAATTATATGTTTGCAGCCTGAAGGATTGTCGGTGTCAGAGCAGCGCACCTACACATTGGGGTTCATTAGTAAATTACAAGGTTTCTCACTTAAAAAGGGAGCGCTGGCTCAACAATTGCTGTTTGCGCAGTTTTTTTATTACTGCGCAAACTGTCTATGGGACCAGCGCTCCCTTGAGCACTGGACCCACAAACAAAAAGATAAATTTGTACGCGAAAATTGATTTTAAAAGTAAATTAAAAAGTATTTAAAATTTTATTCAATATAGATCTTTAAAAATTATGAAAATAAATCAATTATATTGTAATTAGAAAATCAGAGTTTGTGTCAAAGACTCAATTCCTTTAGTTCAACTTCACAATTTTGAATATAAACACTATGAAATTAAGGCTGATAATTTTATACTCATCCTCGTGTACTTTAAAGTTTGAGATTTTATGACTTGACAAGGGGGGATCACACTTGACCAATTTCATGTTACTTTAGGCCGTATCTATCTATCTATGGCCAATTTCTTAGAGGTTCTACCATAGGTAGAACCATAGTCACACTTTGGTTACGCTTTACCAGAGCCTGTTTTCTCCATAGAAAGTGGTCGTGTATTTCACGTACTTTGGGGGACGATATGTTGGCCGCTAGATGTCTCATGCTAAATTCTTATCTGATAGATAGATATTTCTCCTTACATTTCACGACCAATATAGGAGACGTCAAGTTGTCGACCAATGTAGTTTATGGAAGGAACGGCCTCAGAGCAGTGTAGATAGATCGATACGACCTATAGTTGTACCTATGGTTAATGAATAAGAAATTGGCCACTAAACTGCTCTGGTAAAGCGTAACCATAGTGTGACTATGGTTCTACCTATGGCAGAACATCTAAGAAATTGGACAACTAAAATCTGATTTTCTGCAATCCCTATTCCGTTGCAACCTTTAAATTCAAATTTAAACTGTGAATTCTGTTGTCATCTATTCAAATTCTTGGAAACAAATAATACAAGCGATGGATAAGACTGTAACGTCTTAAATGGATTAAAAAGTAAAAAAGTTGTTAGTTACAGGGAACAATGGAATATTTGGAAACATACAATGTAAATTCTTTAGTTATCTCTGAAATCTCATCTTATGCAAAAAATAGGAAGTAAAATTTATAATTATAGGAAGTATAACATTTATAACTTTAGGAAGTAACATTTATAATTATATGCACCCAGCGTAAACATAAAAAATTAAAAATGCACCTCCGAACGATTTTACACTATTGCACTCTGTCTGTATATAGCTAGATTTTAAATATTGAACAAATTTGTATAAAATGGAATTATTCAAATTTGTCGTCTAGCAAGTAAGCAATATGTAAATGGTGCTTCAAGCTTGAAATAAACTTTATTTATATAAACATTTATCTTGTATGCACATACACACATTAAATATTCAAATATACACATTATATATCTAAATATAGTATTCCCACATTTATTGCATAATGTGCAATACCTTTCCATCCAAGAAGTGTCAAAACGTTCAGGATATAGTGAAGATATTTGTACAGAAGAACAAACAAACTTGTTTCAATGAACCAATGACAGGGGGATGATAGTTCTCTACCTGTGTACTCAGTTAGCTGTACTGTACACTTACAACTGTTTACTAATATTGATATACTGTAGGTTAGGCTAGAATCAAATTATAATAAACAAATATGCAGTACGCTCTCGGTATAGTTGATGGCCTATATAATTAGTAAAGGATTAGCATCACTTAACACTTTAGCCTCGTTGACCAATAACAATTTACGACTGAGAAAATTCAACCAAGACCCAAAGTTGAAGGAATCAAACATAAACTACATGAATCAATGGCATTGGGTTGAAAACCTTGAATTTATACAAACAAGATTTTTTAAAAACTTTTAACACATACAAACGCACGATAGAATGGAAAAAAAAAAACATTTCATCGAGCATATAAAACCTTTATTTTGTTTTGAAATTAAAAAATAATTATATCACAGAAATCTTAAATATAATATCCACCAACATATCACTGAATCATCTCTTACTCTGGTGAAGCCTGAAAGCAAATCAATTATTTTTTTAATTTACAGGGTGTCCCACTCCCACATCATATTAGACCGAAAACGGGTCTAAATTACGATTTTTGGGACTATTTAGAAAATTTAATTAGAATGAATCATTCTGAAAAATAATATAAGGCTTATATATTTTCTTGCGGAAAATGATAAGTTTTTCGAGCATTAAGGGTTTATTTTGGTGTTAAAGATTGGAGATGATATGATATGGGACGCTCTGTATAAAAAAGTTGATATTTTACCTCTTCTTCCATTATCCATCTTTTAACTCTCAATTGTCTCAACCTTAATCTTTCGTCATTGAACTGTTTCTGAATGTCGTCTTCTATGTTCTGAAGCTTGGTAGCTTGAGCTCTACTAGCCTCGGAACTTTGCACATTTGCACCATAATAATTAGAACATTCTGGAACATCCTTGGCGAGCTTGCATGACCCACTTAACTCTTCAAATACCTTAAAAAACAGAAAGTGAAATTTTGACAAATGAGGTGACGAATTATGGTTAGGAATAAATGTATGGTTTGTACAAATATTAAAGATTTTTTTACCTTGCCTTGGGGGCATCCCGCTCTTCTAGGTTGTCCTGTTCTGAGACACATGAAGAAATATCTACAATCCTTTGGATCAGAGAACCTAGAGATATAGATTAGAGAACCTAGAGATATAGATTAGAGAACCTAAAGACATAGATTAGAAAACCTAGAGATATAGATTATAGAACCTAGAGATATATATCAGAGAACCTAGAGATACAGATCAGAGAACCTAGAGATATAGATCAGAGAACCTAGAGATATAGATTAGAGAACCTAGAGATATAGATTAGAGAACCTAGAGATATAGATTAGAGAACCTAGAGGTATAGATCAGATTGCCTACAGATTCGAGAACCTAGAGATATAGATTATAGAACCTAGAGATATAGATTAGGTAACCTACAGATGTAGATTCTTTTTAATATATAGGACTGTTAACAGCTTTTTAAAGGTACAATTAGTTTACTAGTTTTAGAATTAGCAAAATATTATATATCTGGTTTTAAAAGTTTACTTGTCATGATTTTATTAACTTTGGACTTTGGTTAGGCAAAATGTGTCTATAAGCTGGTTAAAAACTAACCAGTTATGATCTCCGAACCTAATATAAACCCCAGAACTGTGTCTATAAGCTGGTTAAAAACTAACCAGTTATGATCTCCGAGCTTAATATAAACCCCAGAACTGTGTCTATAAACTGGTAAAAAACTAACCAGTTATGATCTCCGAACCTAATATGAACCCTAGTACTGTGTATTAGCTGGTTAAAAACTAACCTGTCATGATCTATAGAACCCAAGATGAATCCTAGGTATTGTAGCTATAAGCTGGTTAAAAACTAACCTTTCATGATCTCCGAACCTAATATCTCCGAACCTAACATGAACCATAGTACCGTGTCTATAAGCTGGTTAAAACTAACCTGTCATGATCTCCGAACCCAAGATGAACCCTAGTTATGCTATAAGCTGGTTAAAACAAGCCTGTCATGATCTAGAAACCTAAGATAACCCCTAGTACTGTGTATTAGCTGGTTAAAAACTAACCAATCAAGATCTCCAAACATAAGATGAACCCTAGTCTTGTGTCTATAAGCTGGTTTAAAACTAACCCGTCATGATCTCCGAACCTAATATGAACCCCAGAACTGTGTATTAGCTGGTTAAAAACTAACCCGTCATGATCTCCGAACCTAATATGAACCCTAGTACTGTGTATTAACTGGTTAAAAACTAACCGTCATGATCTATAGAACCCAAGATGAACCCTAGTACTGTGTATTAGCTGGTTAAAAACTAACCTGTCATGATCTATAGAACCCAAGATGAATCCTAGGTATTGTAGCTATAAGCTGGTTAAAAACTAACCTTTCATGATCTCCGAACCTAATATCTCCGAACCTAACATGAACCATAGTACCGTGTCTATAAGCTGGTTAAAACTAACCTGTCATGATCTCCGAACCCAAGATGAACCCTAGTTATGCTATAAGCTGGTTAAAACTAACCTGTCATGATCTATAGAACCTAACATGAACCATAGTACTGTGTCTATAAGCTGGTTAAAACTAACCTGTCATGATCTCCGAACTCAAGATGAACCCTAGTTATGCTATAAGCTGGTTAAAACAAGCCTGTCATGAGCTAGAAACCTAAGATAACCCCTAGTGCTGTGTATTAGCTGGTTAAAAACTAACCAGTCAAGATCTCCAAACATAAGATGAACCCTAGTACTGTGTCTATGAGCGGGTTTAAAACTAACCTGTCATGATCTCCGAACCTAATATGAACAATAGTTATACTATAAGCTGTTTACAATCTAACCTGTCATGATCTCCGAACCTAAGATGAACCCTAGCTAACAAAGCTTGCTCCTGGGTCAGTTTAGGGTTGGGACAACGGAATCCAAGAAGATCTTCAGGCTAAACAAATATCATTATAAAACATAATTTTCTAATCACGATATAAAACTATTTTAAACTATAACCAACTAAACAATAATCTAAATTACAACTAACCAAACAAACCCTCAATACTAAGACAACTTTAACTTACAAAACAACAATAGTTAATTTCAACTTACCATTTAACTGATGGAAAAAGAAAAACTAATTTTAGACTACTGTAAACTGCAACCAATTCAACCTGAAGCTTAGCCAAACAAACATTTTAAGCCACAGCGCTACAAAAACTTAAAACTTTGATTTATCCAACAATAATAAAAACTACAACTTACCAAACAATTATTAGAAACTGAAACTAACCATACGACTAATATAAATTATAATATCTTACCAAACAATTAATCTATAATACAATTTACCAAACAACTGCTGTAAACTTCAACTAATCAAAAAAACAATTTATGCTGCAACTTTAAACTACAACTAATCAAATAAAAATTGTAACAATTAATGTAAACTATAACTTACTAAAACAACTACTGTTAACTACAGCTAACCAAAAGACAAATATTACTACAACTTACCAAACAACTAATTGAAAATACATCTTACCAAGCATCATATGCATATTGTTATGTTATATGTATATATATTCTACAACTTGGCAACCAGCTAATTGAAAATACATCTTACCAAGCATTTATACTTTTAACTACAACTAACCAAACGAAAACTACATTCTACAACTTAAAACAACTAATTGAAATAAATCTGACCAAGCATCTATACTGTAAACTACAACTAGTTAAACTAAAGCTTACCAAGCATCCAGGACGAAGTGCTTCGTCTGCCCAAGCGCATATTTTCTGAACAGGATCAAACACTAATCCGGGAGCACACCGCTCAAAAAACGGATTATTGTCTCTAAAACAATAAAGGATTAATTGTTTCTAAAACAAAACAGAATTTCTAAGCAAATAAAGATTTATGGTCTCTAAAACAAAAAAGGGATTGTTATTTCTAAACAAAAAAAGGATTATTGTCTCTAAACAAAAAAGGATTATTGTCTCTAAGAAAACAGTATATTTTCTCTAAACAAAAAAAAGATTCTTGTCTCTAATCAATAAAGGATTATTGTTTCTAAACAAAAAAGGATTGTTGTCTCTAAACAAAGAAAGGATTGTTGTCTCTAGACAAAAAAAGGATTGTTGTTTCCGAGACAAAAAAAAAGGATGATTGTCTCTAAGAAAATAGAATTATTGTCTTTAAAACAAAGAAAATATGGTTAATGACAGTCAACATAATGTTAATTGATCATTAATCTATGAACCACTCTTAAAAACCTTCTTAAAATGATTAATTGAAAACAGCTCTTCTGGACTTCTGGATTTTCATGAAATACCAAATCTAAAGGTTAAACACTTAAACCCGGCATTGTAACATTCTAGAATTAAGTGTTTAATAACCCATGTGTGTTTAACTTCCAAATAAAATATATCGGTAAATAACTAAATCTCCCTTATCCCCTCAGCATATTGAAGGTTAAGGACAAGTTAATCTTGTACCTGCAGGTAACAAACTCTGTACAGGTTTGGTTCGTGTAGAAAATCCCATTCCTCCTTTCACATGGCCCTGTTCCTTTAGGTTCTTGGAGCAGAGGTCGATCCTTTAATAAACAAATTAAAGGGACTGTCAACTTAATTTAAATATACTATACATTTTAAATAATTGCATTCCCAATTCACACTGGTAACTCTAAACCCGTTGAATAACAATATGGATAATCAGCTTCTTTCAGGAATCAAGTTATTTTAGAAATAAACATTTCTCTTGGATGGAGAAAATCAATACAGTGTTCATTTATTAATACAAATTAATTTTTTCCTTCAAAAGACATCATTCTTTTACAGAGTTACCCACAATAGACGACTGTGCGTAATGTAAGCTGAACTTTTTCGTAAAATATTTGAGAATCCCTGCAACTGGTAAACTAGCTTCGTTATTTTCCAAATCATGTAATGAGCCCTTCAACGGCTATATTCGAGATGCCCTGATCAAACCTTTAATCATAATTTCAAGTCGTCTTTTTAGTGTCATCCTTTCCGGGTAACCCTGTATAAACATATCTGCAAACAGTCAGATAAAAAAGAACACTTAACACAATCAAAATACTTATATTTATAATGAAAGTAATCTTCTGTATGGTCTGCACCCCTGTGTTTGATAGATGAAAGAAGTGGTATTATAATATGTACATATATATATATATATTGGAGGCTGATAATATGCTTAGGAATAAATGCCAGAAATGTGCATATTCATTAATACCAATAGATAGCATTTTTCCTCTTAATATCTACAATATTATGTAGTCTATTAATCCACGTTTGGAGGGGGTGACACAAATTTAAAGAATAACAACCCAAAAGTAACATTTTATATTATTTTGATGGGATAAGAGTAAATATACCATTCTTAATGCTAATATAATAAAGTTCAAATATTATATCAAAGTGGAGTCAAGATATGATAAGGTGGATACAGGACAGAGTTAGGATGGAGGGTAGAGTTGGGTTAGCTGCAGGTGGAGATGGGATAACTCAAGGTAGAGTTCATATGGAAGATGTAGTTAGGATAAGGTTAGATGGAGTTGGGATACGGTTAGAGTTGGGATAAGGTTAGATAAAGTTGAGATAAGGTGAGATAGAGTTGGGATAAAGTTAGAAAGTTATAATAAGGTTAAATAGAGTTGGGATAAGGTTACAAACTAAAAAGGTTATATAGGAGTTGGGATAAGGTTAGATAGAGTTAGGATAAGGCTAGATAGAGTTGGGATAAGGTTAGAGTTGGGATAAGGTTAGAGTTGGGATAAGGTAGGATAAGGTTAGATAGGTTAGACAAAGTTGGGATAAGGTTAGATAGAGTTAGGATAAGGTTAGATGAGTTAGGATGAGGTTAGATGAGTTAGGATGAGGTTAGATGAAGTTAAGATTAGGTTAGATAGTCCGGATAAGGTCATATAAGGTTATATAGAGTTGGGAAAAGGTTATGTAGAGTAGGATAAGGTTAGATAGAGTTGGGATAAGGTTAGAAACTAGAAAGGTTAGATAGGAGTTAGGATAAGGTTAGATGAGTTAGGATGAGGTTAGATGAGTTAGGATGAGGTTAGATGAAGTTAAGATTAGGTTAGATAGTCCGGATAAGGTCATATAAGGTTATATAGAGTTGGGAAAAGGTTATGTAGAGTAGGATAAGGTTAGATAGAGTTGGGATAAGGTTAGATAGAGTTGAGATAAGGTTAGATAGAGTTGGGATAAGGTTAGATAGAGTTGGGATAAGGTTAGATAGTGTTGAGCTAAGATTAGATGGAGTTAGGATAAGGTAAGAGAGTTGGGAAAAAGTAAGATGGAGATAGAATAAGGCGAGATGGAAATAGTATAAAGCGAAATGGAGATAGAGTAAAGTGAGATGAAGTTAAGATAAAAGCTAGATGTAGTTAGGATAAACCAAAGACATAAGACAGAGCAGTGGTAGTCAGTGTTAAGTAGTGTTAAAAGTCAAAGGTCTTTGTTCTTAAAGAGTTTTAACAACAGAACCTATTTTCACCCATTTAATAAAATTTTTCGCATTTGCTATTTTGTACTTTTTGGCTTGGCTATTATCAAATATTTAAGCACGCTGTTTCGAGCAATTTTGAGCTATCAAAATATGAATGATTTTGAGCTACCAAACTATGAATGATTTTGAGCTATCAAAATATGAATGAATTTGATATCAAAATGTAAATGAAAACATTTTGATACAGACAGGATGCACTTTGCTGTAGGTTATGAAACAAGACAGGATGCACTTTGCTGTAGGTTATAAAACAAGACAGGATGCACTTTGCTGTAGGTTATGAAACCAGACAGGATGCACTTTGCTGTAGGTTATAAAACAATACAGGATGCAATTTGCTGTAGGTTATAAAACAAGACAGGATGCACTTTGCTGTAGGTTATAAAACAAGACAGGATGCACTTTGCTGTAGGTTATAAAACAAGACAGGATGCACTTTGCTGTAGGTTATGAAACCAGACAGGATGCACTTCGATATGGTTAGCTTTACATAGAGGATTAATGAATAGTTTATCTATTCTCTAGATTTAAGATCAACTAACCTCACAATCTGCAAGATTACTAGAAACACATTTCACATCAGTTATAGAGAATACTTGCCCATCCTCGCATAATCTAAATGTTTATAATGTATATTTATTTAGATTAAAGATAAAAGCATTGAACTATAAGAAAAATAAAAAAGTTTACTTAGTTTGGTTTAAGATGTATAATAAGTTCAAAATATAACTTGATTCCATGTTTATAATAAACAGGGTTAAAATACAAGATAAACCTCAGTTCCTTGTAAGTTAAAATGTCCTCCTTGAAGGTTCGAAGATCGTGATAAATGTAACTTTCTCAAAAGCTATCTAGTGCAAAGTAGTGCAAAGTTTATATATAGTTCCTAGAGGTAAAAGATTAAGATAGAACTTGGTTAATTAATTATAAAAGTCAAGATAGAACTTCGTTCCTGAAGGTGAAATATCAAGATAGAAGTTAGTATCTAAAGGTAAGAGATCAAGATAGAACTTAATTATAAAAATCAAACTAGAACTTCGCTCCTGAAGGTAAATTATCAAGATAATCTTGGTTCCTACAGGTAAAACATCAATATGAACTTAGTTCCTAAAGGTAAAAGATAAAGATGGAAGCAAGTAAAAGATCACGATAAAACCCCTTTCCTGAAGATAAAAGATCAAGATAAAGCTTAGTTTCTAAAGGTAACAGGTCAAGATAGAACTAAGTTCCTTAAGGTAAAAAGTCAAGATAGAACTTACTTCCTGGAGATGAAAGATCAAGATAGAACTTAGTTTCATAAAGGTAAAAGATTTATTTATTAATGTTAAAAGATCAAAAGTCCTAACTTTCTTGATAGATCGTAGTTACTTGAAAATTAAAAACTAAAGATTTAACTTAGTTCCTTATCAAGAAAGTACTTACTTCCTAGAGGGGTAAATAAGTTCCAAATATATTACTTACTTTCAAGGTTAAATAAGTTCCAGATATATTACTTACTGAACCTTCAAGGTTAAAAAAGTTCCAGATATAAATTAGTCAAGGTAAAATAAGATAAAGATATTACTTACTTCCTAGAAGGTTAAATAAGTTCCTGAGATGAAATTACTTCCTTGAAGGTTAAATAAGTTTCAGAGAACTTACTTACTTCCTAGAAGGTTAAATTGTTCCAGAGATATTGCTTACTTCCTCCAAGGTTGAATAAGTTCCAGATATAAATTACTCAAGGTACAAAGATAAAGATATTAATTACTTCCAAGATGGTTAAATAAGTTCCAGAGATTTTAACTACTTCCTAGAAGGGTTTGAACAATTTCCACAGATATTACTTACTTCCTAGAAGGTTAAATAAGTTCCAGATAAATTATTCAAGTTAGAAAAGATCAATATAATACTTACTTCCTAGAGGGTTTAATAAGTTCCAGATAAATTATCCAATTAGAAAAGATCAATATAATACTTACTTCCTAGAGGGTTTATTAAGTTCCAGATATAAATAACTCAAGTTAGAAAAGATCAATTATAATACTTACATCCTATGGGTTTAATAAGTTCCAGATATAAATAACTAAAGTTAGAAAAGATCAATTATAATACTTACATCCTAGAGGGTTTAATAAGTTCCAGATATAGATAACTCAAGTTAGAAAAGATCAATTATAATACTTACATCATAAAGTGTTAAATAAGTTCCAGATATAAATAACTCAAGTTAAAAAGATCAATTATAATACTTACTTTCTAGAAGGTGTGCCGAACTCGCACTGATAATAAAGATCACATTGAGTAGGGGAAGGAATGATGTAGGAAAAGGTTGCATCCGGACAGGAAGGCAGGAAATCCTGAAATATGAAAATATGTAGGAAAAGGATACATCCGGACAGGAAGGCAGGAAATTCTGAAATGAGAAAAAACGGAGAAAAATGTTGCATCCGGAGAGGAAGGCAGGAAATTCTGAAATGAGAAAAAACGTAGAAAAAGGTTGCATCCGGACAGGAATGCAGGAAATCCTGAAATATGAAAATATGGAAGAAAAAGTTAAATTTGGAAATGACGGCAGGAAATCCACGAGTAAGAAAAGATGAAGGAAAAAGGTTGCATTCGGACAGGAAGGCCTGAAATCCTGATATATGAAAATATTTAGAAAAAATTTTGACATGAAGACAGGAAACCCTGGAATAAGAAAAGATGCAGAAAAATTTTGCATCTATACAGGAAGGCAGGAAATCCTAAATAAGAAAACATGTAAGATCACAGGTTTCATCCAGACAGGAAGTCAAGAAAGCCTTAAACGAGAGAAAGTGTAGAATTTGTTTGCATCCGGACAGGAAGGTAGAAAATAAAAAAATAAAGAGAGGATTATAAAGTTATACGAGGCCCTAAGGCAAGTGGATTCAAATGCAATAATTTCTTAAATAAAGAAAATTCAAGAAAAACTAATGCATTCATGTAGGCGGGGGGAGGTCGGCTTGGTGCGGAGTAAACGCATAATTAACAAATAAAATTTGTCGCATACTGCTTGTTTTACGAGAAATAAAAACTCCGCATTTTGCTTCCCACTGCATATTAGACAAAAGGAGAGAGTAAAATATACAATACATTCCAACTCAATAATTTTAAGAACTTTTTCTAAAATTTTTGAACAAGCTTAAATACAAGATTAAAAAAATGTTAAGATGATGTTCTAGGGTTTACTTTAAAGATAAGAGTGTAAGACTCCAAGTCCTTTGAAGGCAATTTTCTTGGTAGTGAATACCTTATATTTAACAAGGTTTCAATTCTTGATTCAAGATAAAATAAAAAATCAATTTTCCCAGGGTACAGACAGGGACTAAGAAATTGGTTATACATTGAGAACCAGAAAATTCTGGACTGAATTTCATTCTTTATTCTGCGTAAAAACGTCGCTAGGATGTTGAATTTTGCAGTCGTTGCAACGGCTAAAATATTACAACTAGCTGAACGGCCCGGCGTTGCCCATGAAAAAAATTTTTAAAAAATATTTTGAAATAAAAATGTTGAATTTTTTTTATAGCCATAACACCCCCCCCCCCATCCATGAGTGTCCACAAAAAATTTCAGTCCAATCGGTCCAGCCGTTTAGCCGGCTATAAACAACATATATATATATATATACGAATGTCTTGTTTTATTATATAGATAAAAAATCCTCGAGTATTTAATAATTAAAATTAAAATTGAAAGCAAGAAACTCTGTTTTATGGAGGAAAGAAAACCGAAATCTAATATCTAATCTTAATTAAAACAGATCTTATCTGTTTGTTTTCACGAATTCACAGTTCAGGTTTTTGAAAATTTTTTGGAAAACTATCATAATTTAACACTTTCTCTGCTGGAGTACTTGACAACCAGGATATGCTGGGGGGGGGGTCAATTTGACCCCCTTTAAATCCCATGTTTGATGTCCAAATATGACAAATGATACATCATTGGAAAGCTCTTGTGCTCTACTTGTAGAATCTACAAAAAATTTGCAAATTTGAAAAATTGAATTTTTTATCGCAAAATCCAGTTATATAGTAAAAATGTTTGCAAAAAAAGGTTTGTCCAAAAAATGAAAAATTATACATTTTTGAAAAGCGCTTGACCATGCCATTTAAAATATGCAAACAATTTTGCAAAATTTAAATAACCTGATTTTAATCAAGAAAAACTAAAAATAGGGTTAAGATCACAGAAATCTCGAGTTCAGATCGAACACGTTCAAAATACTTACATGAGATAATTGCTTATTTTCATTTCCTGTCAGCTTAGTTTCCTCTAGCAACTGTTGTACCCTAGGTCTAGTTCTCTGGGCTAATGGATTCTCCTGGGGGTTAAAGGTTCTAGCAGAACCTTGGGTTGAGAACTGAGAATCTAAACTCTGCTCCGGGTTGGTTCGAAGAAAGGATGGTCTGTTCTCCGAACTTGATTGAAGCACAGGATTAACTTTGACTCCACTACCTCTAGGAGAACCAGCTAAACATATGTATTTATTATTACCATACATTTATCAAGTTTATTAATATTATTCAAATTATCTGATGGGAATGTGTCGTGATATTTAAAAAGGAAAGAATGCTTGATTCACTAAATTCTTAAAATCTTGAGAAGATATTCTGAGCAAACTAAATAATCTGGGGCCAAATTTAAAGAATGTAAGTGGCGGCTTAAATTTAGACATGGTTGGTTCCACTTAAAAATGTATCAAATGTTTCAAGATTTAAGCCGGCGCTTAATTTAAACCAGGTTTTGGCGGATTTAAGCCGCGGCTCAAATTCTTTAAATTTGGCCTCAGGTTTTTTTCTCTAACAACAGAGGAAAATGTTACTCTTTAAAAGGAGGGTCAATTAAAATAAGATTTTCAGCAGCTTAAATAAGAAATAAGTTTTTATAATCCGGGATAAAATATAGACATATTTAAATCCGACCTGTGGCATCGTTAACGTTTTTAATCCTGGCTAGTGCAGACTCAATTACATCATCCATACTCTAAACATTTCATTCAAATCAACCAATGTACTTTAAATAAACTCTAAACATTATATTCAAATCAACCAATGTACTTTTAAATAAACTCTAAACATTACATTCAAATCAAACAATATACTTTAAATAAACTCAAACATTTCATTTAAATCAAACAATGTACTTTTAAATTAACTCTAAACAGTATATTCACATCAACCAATGTACTTTAAATAAACTCTAAACATTACATTCAAATCAAACAATGTACTTCAAATAAACTCTAAACATTACATTCAAATCAAAAAATGTACTTTAAATTAACTCTAAACATTATATTCAAATCAAACAATGAACTTTTAAATAAACTCCAAACATTACATTCAAATCAACCAATGAACTATTAAATATTACATTAAATGAACAAATCTAAGGATTAAAAGTCGATAACATTTTTAATGAGAACATTTGTAACATTTACTCTAGAGTTAACCGCTACCCTGGGTGGAAATTTTCTTCTGTCTCTTTTCTACCCTGGGTAGTGCAAAATTACTCTAGAGTAGAATTTGCATATATTTCTTGATCAATACGTATTTACCCAGAGCTGAAAACTTTAGAATGGGATAACCTTAATCCAGATCGGTTAAGAAAAAGCATTATTTAATCTGGAGATTAAGAAAAGAGTGGATCAAGCATTGATCCCGATATCCACCATTCAAAAGTTCCCAGCTCAGGATAGATACATAAAACTTGCTTACTGCGCATGTGTATAAAATGACGCCAACAAATAAGTGCTTGGTTTAAAAGCAGTCGTTGCTTAAAGGACTTAAACAAAATAAAAATTTTAAAAAAAGAAATTAACAATTTTTTTAAAAATTGTTCTTACTTTTATCAGAACAAAATATTAACTTTTTTCAGATATCAATTTTGTTAATAAACCGATGGATGGAATTTAAGAAAAAATCCTCTGCTTAAAATTTTTTAAATAAATTCTTTTTTTTCTAAGCATATATTTTTTATATTTCATCGTAAATATATGTTTTCGCTTTACTAAACTATGCAACTTTGGGGGACGATATGTTGGCCGCTAGATGTCTTATGCTAAATTCTTATCTGATATAGATAATTTCTCCGTTCACTTGACGACCAATATAGGAGACGTCAAGTTTGTCGACAATTGTAGTTTAAGGAAGGAACGGCCTCTGGGTAAATCTAATAACCCTGGGTAAAACTTGAAAAATAAATTGGAACTAGGGTAACTCGAGTAAATTCCAATTTACCCAGGACAACTTGATTGAGAAATTGGCGTAATGTTTTGGCCCCCCTACTTTATCACCTAGAAAAGCTTTTTTTTACCTGAGAGCGAGGATCTTGATTCTTGATGATAGAAGCTGTCCGGACAATTTCAGAGGACGGAAGCCCGTTAAAGAACTGTCCTAGACATGGATTAAGAAGGATACAGGAGAGAAGAATAAAAACCACTAGTCCTTCCTCCGCCATGGTTCACAGATACTGACGAGGATATGAGGGAATTCCTGATGAAATTGTACTCAAACTGGTCTTATGAAAATAAATAAATAAATATGTACTGTACAGTGAACATGTATTGTACAACTTTGTGCAGTACGATTTTTGGTCAAGGATGAAAAAGTTTACAGAGCCCAAGTTTACAATGCAAGAAAGTTAATTCCTGTTGCTTATACTCTACGTATATATTGAAACCAGTTATCTCTGGGCGGAATTTATAAACAAGAATAGATGCATCAGTGCAAGGTTATAATGCATTGTAACCTTGCATCAGTGTTCGTTTAGTATCCGAGGAGGTTAAAAGCATTGGATAATTTTGATAGTTAACATAATAGTTTCCTTTTACCAGAATAGTTCAGGGATTTTTCATATGAAAAATGGATCCCATGTCCGGCTTCGACATCCGTCTTGTGTTTACATTACCGCCCAGAGACAGTACACTGCAGTACAAAAGATGCGTACACCTCTGAAATAACTTTCCTTGCATTATAACCTTGACAAAGCCTGAGATTATTAAAGGCCATAGAGAATAGAATATTTATTAGAGGGGAATTTACTAGAAAAAAGTGTAAAACGGCCATTGTTTCCATACTGCAGTTTTACTTCACATATTTATGCTATATAACCTTTTAGGTCCTGGAATATCATTTTATAGAAAATCTAAAATTTTTGTTAAAAGAAAACCGAATTATGAAATAGGCTGGTTTCATAATTGACCAATGATCATTTCATTTCACATAGACTCTATGCCTTCCACTTTACAAACGATGATTTTCCGTTTTAACTATAAATCAAATGATGTTTTTTATTCACCTAGTTCATTTAATAGCTTTAAAAAATTCGAAATTGAAATGGATAGTCTAGGGAATATACTGTATTAATGTACTCTACTGCATATAATTTGTGAACATTTACATGATTTGTACACTTTTAACTCCCTTTCAGGCTAAAAGGGACTGAAAAAATTCATACCCAGAGATTTTTTAAATTCCCCTCTAATATATATTCTATTCTCTATGTTAATGGCCCAAACTAAGTTATCGCTTGAATTTTATGAAATATTTATAATAATATTTTTTTAATTGTTTAAAAATGTTTGATTGAAAATGTATCAGTACTGGAACTCTAAAGCTGGCAACAGGCTTATCATCTTTTATTATAGTCGCCATGTATAAGATTTAAATCATATTTATCGTATCAGCAAATAAAATGTCATTCTCAACAGTTAATATATATTTTGAAGAAAAACATACTGTTTTAAGGTACAAATTTTCGGAAAATTACACCTGAAAAAGTAAAACTCTCAGACAAAGTAATTGAATAATTGAAACAAACGATGATTTTCAAATTATTGTAATCTGACAATCTAAACCTATAATGTTTCACGACTACTTTATCCAAGGTTGTATAATAAGGTTGGTTACTTTCGATGCGCTCCAATGTACGGAAAATGTCGTATCTTAAGATAGATAGATAAAAACCTCATACGACGTCACTCTTGCCTCTTTCATTAGTGACGTCATATGAAGTTTTCATCTATCTATCTTAGGGTCCGTACATTCTTGCGCATCGAGAGTAACCAACCTTCTTATACAACCTTGATTTTATCAAACATATAATTCAAAGTTTTAAAAGAGGTGGTAATTCTTTGGACATGGGTATTCTGTTCCACCTATTACTTTCCAGGACTGTATTTGTACTTAATTAGCAGATTTCGTAAAAAAATATTTTCAAAGGACAAAGAAACTTAACATTTTTAAAATTAACACAGTTTTAATGAAAAATAAGAAATTTACATTAAAAATGTGTGTAAAATTCGACAAACATTTAACAAAAATACATAGATTGAAATTATTAAAAAATTATATTTCATTTATAAGAATAACTGTTCAAAATCATGTAATTCGTCCATCCTAGAAAACCAAGCAAGTAAATTGACAGGATTTCGTTGTACGGTGGATTTTGAAAACAAATAAAGAGGAAGTTGAGACCTTTTTACAATTGATTTTTCATCAAAACTATATATTTGTTTTATCGAAAAGAAATTCTTTATTGCAACGACTTTAATATCAGTTTCATTTTTAGTGTCAATGCTTCTTCTTCTTGTGAAGTACAAACATACTACAAATGTTAAATCAAATGAGAAAATTACTTTTCACAGACAACTTTTTTGGAATTCAAAACGTCTATTATTTTCTTACCAATCGCAAAAATTCTTTTTTTTTTGAAAATATATAAACAAATGCATCTTAATTGTAAAATCAAGCATTCATTAATTCTAAATTATTAAATAACGACGACGAAAAATATAGTAAAAATTCTATAGTAAACTAATTAGATGTTTTGGAACATATTTCTTAAAAGAAATTTCTCAATAAATTAAAGTTAGAAAAAGTTATTCCTTTTTCATCATTATATTAAATACTCATTTTCTATGAATTTGTTCACAGATTTCTTCAAATGTCGTCTTTTTAATAAAAATTCCAGAAAATCTGCAGAAAATCTTTGTGATTAAAGAGAGATTATAGAAACTAATTATTGAATAAGATTACTTATTTTCGATGATAACAGTTAATTTTATTTTCTCAACCTGTCCCTAAACAACTAATTAGTAGAATTTTGTATACAATTTTTGTCGTCGTCATTTAATAATTTAAAAAAACAATTCTGAAAACGTTTCCACCCAAAAGTACGGTTTTGAACGTCGACTTTGCGGTCAAACTCAGGATTTACAGATCTTAAAAAGTTTTATATGTCTCAAATGAATCCTAAAGAATTTGTCCACAACACTGCATACTCAGTTTAACTACCTTACATAGCCGGTAAGTCCCTTTAACGCTAAGAAACAAGTTGTTTATGTTTAGACATAATTGATCTCTCTCTCTCTCTCATTCAAAATCCGTTCAATTTAGAGTACAAGACCTGATTTATTTACGTATTTAAAGTACAAAGTCCAACAAAAAAGTATAAAATAGCAAATCTACACTTATTGGTAGTAAATAGGTTCTAAAGTTAAGACAAATTAAAGTTTTGTTTAATATTTGTTAATATTGAAAACCAAATCTATTATTTTAAACATGGAAAAATGTTGCTTTATTCAGAGAGCATGCAAAGAAGAAGTTCTAATTAAATGAATGAGTAAAAAAGGGAAAATGAATATTTGAATATGGTACAGTCCTTGAAAATTGATATAAAAAATGTGTCCTATCTAATTATTCGTAAAAAAATCTAAATGTTTGACCTTTTCTGTCCTTTTTTACCTCTCTAAAGGTATCTGCATTTAATATCTAAATTCAAAAAAATGGATTAAAAGGATTAAAAAGTTTTTATATCGTTTTGTTACCCTAATAAACTTATTGAAGCTTAATTTCTTATATCTATAGTTAAAATTTAGTATGCAGTACACACAATAAAAAGCCCGTATTTACTATGAAAAAATATATTTTCTAATTTTGTTCGAATAAAAATCAAAATGTTAGAAAAAGGGGAAAGATGAAAAAACGTTTATTTGATAATTTCTAATAACATATATTTAGTTTTCAATGTTTACAAACTAAGAATAACTTTCCATAGATGGGGTCATTCTTCACATTGAACTAAGGATAGTATTCACCCATGAATTTAAAATCCTTGATCATTTAGTTGCTATTGCTCTTCCTCTAAGCATTCAACTTAATGTTGGATTTCTGTTCATCTGAGGTTTTACATCCAAATAAGGCGAACTAATATTGGAATTAGTATTATGTCTCTTTACGCTGGAAGTCATCCCTTCTCTTCTGTTTGACGTATACTCAAACATTGAGTCAGAATCTCGTCGTTTGCTGGAAGCATACTTTATGTTTGAACTTAATTTTGATTTCATTCCATCATTCTTCTGAGAATAAACAGCTTGACGTTTTTGGGTTTGATCTCTTTTGATGTGAAAGTTTTGAATTCTTTTATTATGAATTTCATTGGAATCAGACCGTCTATTGGAGGGACTATTGGAGGGACTATTGGAGGGACTATTGGAGGGACTATTGGAGGGACTATTGGAATCAGACCGTCTATTGGAGGGACTATTGGAGGGACTATTGGAGGGTCTATTGGAATCAGACCGTCTATTGGAGGGACTATTGGAGGGACTATTGGAGGGTCTATTGGAGGGACTATTGGAATCAGACCGTCTATTGGAGGGACTATTGGAGGGACTATTGGAATCAGACCGTCTATCGGAGGGACTATTTTCAGCTAAGGAGCGTTTTGTCAATTTGTCCTGGAAACTAGTTGAAGAAGACAGTCCAGGTTGGGTTTTATATTCCTCTGTATCAGATCTATGATATGGACTGTAATCAGAAGAGTGTGAGACAGAATGATGAAGGTCCTCGTCATGATGATACTTGCTGGAATACTCCTTCACATGATGTTGATGGTAGTTGGTCTCATGATGATGATGGTTATGCCGGTAGGAATGATGTTGATGATGATCATGGTGAGTATGATGATAGTGTTCATGATTAGTGTGATGATGATGATGATGGTGATGATCTATAAAGACTGGGGTTTTATAATCCTGTTTATTATTATATTTGTTGTTCAGGAAGAATGCCTCTGTCACTCCAGTTGCTAAAACCAGCACCAACGTCAGACCTGTAGAAATTTTTTTTTAACATCTTAAAGCGACTCTAAGCGTGATGATGGAAATGCCCGATTTAAAACGGTACCCATGAACGTTTGAACTATGTTTTTTTTTTTAATTTGTGAGGTTCTCTGTGAAAGTAATTTGGGCATTTTTTGTTTGTAAAAAAAAGTCATCAGAATTAAATATTATGTTATTTTCACATTTTGATCAGATTAAGGTTTCAAGAGTACCGTTGTAAATCGGGCATTACCATCTTTGCATGAAAGGCCAATTGAAATCACCCTACAATCCCTTTAGGTAAACGTTTACTGGATTTTCAGTTACTTTCTCAATTTATGGCAAAGATCGGGCTATAGCATTACCGGGAGTGTTTTGCTTAAACTATTGACGATTTAAAAAGCATTGATATTTTGTAAAATCACGTTAAAATGGTTTATTTATAAAAAAAAATGTGTTAAAATTTTTTAAAATCTCCCTTTTGTGATTGATTCCTGAAATGTTGCTTTTTAGACAAAGAGTTTGCACTATCCCAGGAAAAATCTACGTTTCTAAGATCCAGGTTTAAGACTAAATCTTCGACTCAACTAATAAACATGTTGACGACTTTTTGTATCACGTGATCGACGCTGTCAGATTTGAGATTCAATATAAGAAGAATCCGCCAATTCCATCCATGAAAATCCACCAAATATAATGTTAAACCGGTTTAATAAACCAAACTCTGTGGAAAGTTAGTTGCAACTTAAATCCGAAAGCGTGAATCTTAAATTGTAGTCTAAATAACAGCTTACACCTGAGACTTTCCCCCCCCCCCAAATTTTAAAACGCGGGCTCAGATAAATTTTAGATGCGGTTATAAAGAGAACTACACGAGTAGATACGAGATACACTTTATCTCTTTCTTCACTGTCTTTAATTAAACTAGTTTCAGAAAATATTAAAATAGAAAATACTTTGAAGAGAATGAAAACTATTCAGATTTTCCAATTTAGTTGCCAGCCAAGTATTTGTAAATTAAACTGTTCGATATTGAATAGAAAAATACCAAATTTGTAAACATAAACAAATCCTATTTTGGAATTAAAGAATTTTTTTATTTTTTTTTTAAACTATTATTTATAAACTTGGCATATGATAACATATTTTGATATATGAATATCGTCTTTGATTTCCGATAATTGATAAATTGCAAAAAGTGCATCAAAAAAGATTGAACTCTTAATGAGCTTTCCAAAATGTGGTCTATACCTTCTTTGTATCTTTATAAATGACGGAGATACATATTTAACATATGAACAATTTTGTTTATTTTTAATAAACTGGAATCTTTACAAATTTCATAATATCTCTGTCAATTTTGACGGTTAAAAACTCGTAGACCACATTTTGGAAATCCCAAGACTGGTAGTTTTTGGTATTAAATTTTTAACTGTGTTACTGCAAAATTATGTTTACGAAATAACCCCGCATGAAAAACAAAGACTATATAGAATTCGTCAATAAATTCCCATGTTTAATTAGACACCCTAAATACAAAAAGAGACACTTTACTTTTCTTTCATAAGTTTAAAAGTGTATTTTTCATTATTTTTGGTTTCTGTTTTATGTGATAATCTGTAGGAGAATATTCAAATATTTTTGATTTTGTTTTATTTTTGTATGAAGTTGTCTCGCAGCACAAATTGATAAGGATTTAGTAAAAACTAATTTTAAATTTTATAAAACTTACTTTTCACACGTCACACAAAATTGCAAAAATTCTGAATTTTATTTAGAAATAAGTGTTTAGAGAAAAAGAAAATCCATTAATTTTTTTTTATTTATAAATGTTTCATAGTCTTTGATGCCACAAACTCCAATTTTCAGACATATCTTTGCAACCTGAGTCTAAAACTAAAGAATGCGCGAATTTTAAGTTTGAGGTTAAAAGTTCTGTAAAATAATGAATAGCTACTTAAATATTAAACTTTCTCAATTTTAAATTTGAATTTCCCGGGAAAAATCTGAACCAATCAGAGAAAAGGATTTACGGTGAATATTACATAACCATCGCTAATCAGCTGTTCTTACGTGACCGAAAACAAAACATACAACCGTTTTTTGGGTTTACATCCAAAAATTAATTTATCTAAAACCTGAAATTTCTTTAACAAGGCACTTTTAAATATATCGTAAAGTTGAATGCCGGTTTCTCAGCTGCAGCTGAATGATGATTGAATAATAGACAAATAGGGAAAATGCAGGATTTCAAGATAATTTAAACCTCTGTTTAAATTTTAACTCGTCGATTTCGGCGAGTTAAATATTTAACCACAGGGTTAAATATTTAACCTCATGGTTAAAGTTCAGGTTTAAATTAAGTCAGAAGTGGCATTTAACCATGAACTTAAAATTTATGTCAGAACTTTTCGTTCTTTAGTTTTAGATTCAGTCAAACTTAGATAATTTAAATTATCAAAATTTATAATTTGTAAATGGTCATCGACATTGGGTTACAAAGATTTAGGGATTAGAAAATTAGAGTTTGTGGAAAAAACTATTTCCTTTTACTGAATGATTGCTTAAATTATAATTTATTGAATAATTCATCAGTTGGTTGGAAAATAATTTTACAAGATTTAATTTTTAAAAAGAAAATAGAATCTATATAAATGCAGCCAAATAGAATATTTGCTGAATTTGTAAACAAGTCCTATGAAATAAATTGAAACAGAAATATCTCCCGGCCTGGCCCCTTCCTTCCTTTAACATAAATACAAAATCGATAAAAAATGTCTATTTAATCAAAATGGTTTTGTTTGAAGAAAAAAATGCTATTTTGGAAAACATAAGAATAAAAAATAAACCCTTTCGTAAAATAATATAACTTACCGGTGGAGCTTGAACAATCGAACATTGTGCAACTTATGACACTATGCGCGTAAACTACAGTGTTTATATAAGTGAACTATGCATATGTGCATTTAAATACTTCCGGCTTTAAGAATACGTAAAAATAATAAACTGAAAGAATTTTTTACCATTTTGCCAAACATTTTCTATTCATTGAGAAATCGTTTGATTTTATTTTACTCTTTTAAAATTTATTTTTGTATGGTTCCCCCATCCTTGTCTATTTTGTAGAATCTCAGGTTTTAAAACTTTTAAACAATTAAATAATTCAAGAAATTTGAAGAGGAAGAGTTGATACCAGCATTTTAGCAAACATAGAACCAGATATTGAGGGGAGGGAGAGGTTTATTATAATGGAGAGAGGGNTGAACGTATAAAATACACTTTTTTTAAAAAAAGGAAGTTATCAACCATTTTTCTTTAAAAATATTAAACTGCCCCTTTTTATTTTTTAAATGTATAATGAGGGTAGTTGGATCTTGGAAAAATAACTATTGATAAAGATTCATATTCAAATTAGACTTTCTTAAAGATCAATAATTTTTCAAAAAAATTTATTTAAAGGAATTGAGTCTTTGCCACAAACTTTCATTTGATAATCCCTATATCTCGCAACCTTATGATGAAAACTTTTGATATTTCAAACTTCGATTATTGGATCCAATAGAATTCATAGTTTGAAATATCTATGGTCTTCACTGCTGGTCTGCAAAGATATAGGGTCAAGAAAATTTGAGTTTATGGGAAAGACTTAATTCCTTTACTATTTAGACCAGTTTCTGGGATTTCCCAAAATAATATAAAATATTGTTCACAGTTAAAAACTATGGATTTTATGCCAATTATGGTAAAATAAATAACAAATGCTTAAAGGTTGGAATTTGGAATTAGTTTCATAAATATCTGTTCTGAAGAAAAAGAGCACCTATACAATTTTTACAAGGCCGCCCTAGGGGGAGGGGGTTTTAGTTATAGGGGCGTTTATAGAGGAAGGGGTGAGTGTGGTTTTTATTGGTGACGTGTAAGGTGTAAGGGGTTATCAGGAGGAAGTCATGGCGGTAGCAATAGTTATCAGTGGGTATCATGGTATCATGAAGATATTCAGGGGGTTTATTGGAGTGTTGGGGAGGTATCAGCGGATTTCAGGGGGTTTTATTGGAGTTTTGGGGGAGGTATCAGCGGATTTCAAAGAGAAAGCTACAACAACCATGCTCAGGTTATAAATATTAAAATGGTTTTATTATTATCCTCGGAGAAATAAAACAATCAACATTTTTGCGGGCCTGCTTATGTTATAAGTTGTAACCCTATCCCGCTTCCCTACTTTGTAACCCAATCCTGCTTGTACAATTTTTGTTTAGTTTAGGGGGGGGGGAGTAAAGGCTTAAAGGGAGTGACCGTCTATGTAAGGTAGTTGAACTGAGTATGCAGTGTTGTGGAAATCTCCTTTAGGATTTATTTGAGACACATTAAACTTATTAAAGATCTGTAAATTTTTGTCGTCGTTATTTAATAATTTAAAAAAAAACTAATCCACCTCCAATGTAGGAGTTTTGAACCTCGAATTTGCGCTCAAACTCAGGATTTACAGATCTTTAGCAAGTTTAATATGTCTCAAATGAATCCGAAAGCAGTTTTCCACAACACTGCATACTCACTCAGTTCAACTACCTTACATAGCCGGTCACTCCCTTTAATAGTGATTCTTAACCCTAAAAGGCGTTTGGTACCCCCCTCGATAGTTTTGTTGACCCTAACATTTATTTTTATTTTTGACGCTATCACCTTGGATTTTTGCACTTTTAAAAAAAGAAAAGGAAGTCTTGGCCACCAACTCAAATTTTCTTAACCTTCGAATGAGTGAATCTTCTCAAACACTTAATTTCATTATTATAGGTTTACACTTAGATCTTAGTTTCAACTCAGAACTTAGTTTCAACTCAGATCTTAGTTTCAACTTAGATCTTAGTTTAAACTCAGATCTTAGTTTAAACTCAGAACTCTGATTCAGAATTCACAATTTGAAATATTTAAGGTCTGCTATTCTTTTTTCTTTATGTACATTAATTGAGTATTGGATCAAACTATGGTACGGTATTGATACTTGACGTGTTGTATTGATCCAAATATTAAATATTAATGCACGGTCAGTGCCCTGTCCACTGTTTAGCCCTGGATATAATGAGCTTTATCTAATTCCTTCCCTTTTCCTGTCAATATCTAGATAAATATATAATATTTTTTTTTAAGTGAATATGTACAATCACGCATAATAAAAATATTGGTGATTTTAGAGCAAAATTTTAGTTTCATTTTTGCGATCAAGGAAATTTTGGAAAATTGTATAATTTAGCTGTTTTAAAGTTTTCTGTGTTGTGAATCTTGGGATCCAGTTCATATTAATCTTTTGCAGTGTCCACATTGGATATCGAGATCAAACTTCAAGATTAACGATACTTCACACAAATATTTAGAGAATTAAAAAAGTTATCGTCTTCCTTTTCGTTTCAGTTCTTTTCATAAAAAAGGATGAAATTCAAATATTTTGTTATTTAATTTTTTGGGTCAGGGAAAACTTCTTTTTTCTGTGAAAACATTTTGAAAACTTTAAAAGATTCTTGAAAGTTTTAAAATGAAAACTTTGCGATGAACTTAATAAATTTAGTAGAAATATCAAATAAAACTTAAATTCATTTTAATATCCCTTTTGGAAAAAGAATTCTTTTGGTATTTTAGAAGTGTATATTTTCGAAAGAGAGGATTGAATAAAAGCTGTGTTTTGGTTTCAGCATTTTTTATTTTCTCCTGCTAATCTTCTAACTTTTAGTTTTTATTGAATCCCGGACAGTGTTCAATTAGGATGTAACATTGGATACATGAGGATGTATATATACACGGTAGGGAGAAAGGGTAGTGTAGTGTAGGGTATACACAGTACAAGGATGGGAGGATGGGTAGTTTAGTGTACAGGGAAGGGAGGATGGGTAGTGTAGTGTACAGGGAAGGGAGGGTGGGTAGTGTAGTGTACAGGGGAGGGAGGACGGTTAGTGTAGTTTAAAAGGGAGGGTGGATGGATTGTGTAGTGTACAGGGAAGGGAGGATGGGTTGTGTAGTGTACAGGGGAGGGTGGATGGGTAGTGTAGTGTACAGGGGAGGGAGGATGGGTTGTGTAGTGTACAGGATAGGAGGATGGGTAGTGTAGTGTACAGGGAAGGGAGGATGGGTAGTGTAGTGTACAGAGGGAGGATGGGTAGTGTAGTGTACAGGGAAGGGAGGATGGGTAGTGTAGTGTACAGAGGAGGGTGGATGGGTAGTGTAGTGTACAGGTAAGGGAGGATGGGTAGTGTAATGTACAGGGGAGGGAGGATGGGTTGTGTAGTGTACAGGGAAGGGAGGATGGGTTGTGTAGTGTAGAGGGAATGGAGGATGGGTAATGTAGTGTACAGAGAAGGGAGGATGGGTAGTGTAGTGTACAGGGGAGGGAGGATGGGTAGTGTAGTGTAGAGGGAAGGGAGGGAGGACGGGGGTTGCAACTAGTGTTCCTCAGTAGCCTCTGCTACCATTACCGTTCAACATCTCTCCAATCGTATATATCCTGGATCCAAATTTCTTCCCTATTTTACCAGGGACCTAGAGCAGGACCTGAACCTGACCCTATTGAAGAAAAAAATCAACTCTATCCCTTAACAGGGGTTTAGTTACATATGAAAACATTTAGACTACAAAAGAATTTCGGACAATTTGTTGAAAAGAAGAATAAGGAATTTTAACGGTCATTTTTCCCTGCGAGATCGTCAAAATAAAGCACAAAGATGGGAATATTTTTCGGTAAGTTTATTCTAAAAGTTATAACTATTTTATAATCTAAACTCATAATTTGGCTATATGGTTTTAATGTACATAGAAATGTTAAATTCTAGGTGAAAACTTCATTTAAGTTTTCTCGGGTTTATTAATTTCTCTTCTCCCAGAAGACGCATAAAATTATTTATTTCCATAAAGGGGAAATTTATAAAAGGAAAAGTATGCATTTGTCCTTTTGCAATTTGCAAAGAAAGTTCAAAATTATCTATTTTAAAATTGAGAGATATCTCCTAATTTTTTTCAAAATTTAACGCGTAATCTAAAAACACATACGAGGATGCTCTTTTACATATAATTTGAATAAAAAATGGGGAATATTATGGAAATTTTCAAGTTATAAAATCTAAAATCTCAAGAACATATTTTTAAACTGAGACATAAACTTTCTAAAGTCTGAAACCCTCTGAATCCTGATTATACAGATTGTTTTATCTTCTCATTGAATTCTTGATCGAATTAAAGGGACTGTAAGCGTTATTGCTAGATACCCCCGTGCTAAAAGATGACAATTCTCGATTTACAACGGTACCCTTAAAAATAGATTTTTAAAGTTTTAGAATCTGATTTTTATTTGTGTATTTCTTTACTAAAATTACTTGTGCATTTCAAATGCAAGAAACATGGAGAAGTTATGAAAAAAATTATTTATAAATCTAGAAAAAAAGAAAAAATCTTCTTTTCAGTGGTACCTTTGTGAATCAAGCATTATCATATTGAAATGGAGGGTTACTTGCAATTATTCTAACAGTCACTTTAAGTGAATAGAAGGACTGAAAAGGGTATATTAAAGGGGTCTATCAAGGGTCTATCATACTTGGTCTTTCAAAGTGTCTATCAAGGGGTCTATCAAGGCGTCTATCAAGAGGTATATCAAGGGGTTTATCAAGGGGTTTATCAAGGGGCCTTGCAAATGGTTTATAAAGAGGTCTATCAAGGGGTCTATCAAGTGATCTATCAAGGTCCGGATCTGTGAAGGGGTCTATCAAGGGGTATATCAAGGGGTTTATCAAGGGACCTTGAAAATGGTTTATAAAAAGGTCTATTAAGGGGTCTATCAAATGATCTATTAAGGGCCGAATATATCAAGGGGTCTATCAAGAGGTTGATCCTCTTGAATCTAAATATTGAGTTAAAGTCTGTTTTACAGATTTAAGAGATCTATTAAATGCGTTTATACCTTGTGTTTGCCTTTTCAAC